AATATACAATACTGTGTAAAACGAACGGCCAATAAATAAAAAGATAAAATGTTAAAACGGGGAGCACGCCGTAAAAACAAAAACACATCTAGTGTCTACACAAACATTAAAGACAACTATGATATCCGGACCAGAAAATACATCAAACGCTACCAAAACGGCCTACAACAAATCACCAGACTGGCGGAATCCACGAAATTTCTGGAGACGTGCAGAAGAAGTGGCTTAACACCAAATTTCATCAGCAACGCCACCAAAAATATCCTCTACACAATCAACAACAACACCAGCAACAACCGAATACCAACACAACTCTCAAACGCAGTGATGGCTTACATCAATAAAGTGCAACTAAAACTGGTAAACCTTATCATCAGAATAAAGCATTCACTCCGTCGACAAATAGTAAAAGAGGTAAATAGGCTAGAAACGCTAATAACACAACAACTCAACATAAATGATTCCACCGTATTTTTCGAAAGTGAGAAATTATTAACAAATAAACTCACAACAACAATTAAGAAGACACAAACCAAAAAATATGAAAAACTAAAGCAGAAACAAAAACAGTTACTAAACATTAGGGTGATACCAGAATGGTTTTGTAATAAGACAACCATAAATATACCAATAGATATCCAGTGGCTTTTATCTTTTGGTCCAAAATATGCCTTACCAACAGAAAATAAAAACTTTCCACTATTTCAATTTATAGCAGACGGAGAAAACTGTATACAAACAATTACGGACAAAGAAAAACAAGAGATTGAAAGAAATAACTTGACGACGCTAATACGCGACCACCTTAACAAAACGACGACTTCTATGAGAGACAAATTTATAAGTGACACCCTAGGTTCCACAAAGAAATTCCTGAATAATAATAAACAACTCTTAGTCCTCAATGCTGATAAAGGAAATGTAACGGTAGTAATGGAAAAATCTGAATATGATGCAAAAATGCAAGTATTGGTGAATGACATAACCACTTACAGAGTTTTAAAACGCGACCCGACGAATAAATTACAGGACAAGAATAATGGCATAGTGGAAAGAATGTACAATAACAAAATCATTGATTTGAATGAAAAGAATTCCCTTATGTGTAAAACGGCTAACCCACCGAGAATTTATGGATTGCCGAAAATCCATAAAGATGGCACTCCACTCAGGCCTATTTGTTCGTCCGTCAATTCTCCGTCGTATAATTTATGTTAATATCTCACTAACATTCTCAAAAATTTAACAAAGTCCTCCAAATATAATGTTAAAGATGCAATGGAGTTCAAAAACAAGATTAAAGGCTCTTATGTATATGATGATGAGATTTTAGTGTCATTCGATGTTGTGTCCTTATTTCCCAGCATACCCGTAGATTTGGCCATCGAAATCATAGCCTCAAGATGGGACGAAATTAAAAACCTAACCTTTTTGACGAAAGAACTATTCTTGACAATACTAAAATTCTGCGTTAAGGAGAACCGTTATTTTAAGTACAATGATAAAATCTACGAGCAACGATCAGGAATGCCAATGGGTTCTCCAGCCTCACCTATAATAGCGGACATAGTCATGGAGGAATTACTGGCAAAATTTGAAAGGGACTCCACTAACAAACCGCGTTTACTGACCAAATACTAATATTAAAACCCAAGATATGGACATAATGCTACACACACTCAACAACTACAATAAGTCGATTAAATTTACAATAGAAAAAGAAAATAATGGATAGTTATCTTATCTTGACACTCTAATAATAAGAAGAAATAATTTATTAACAATTGACTGGTACAAAAAGCCGACTGCGTCTGGGAGACTAATTAACTTTCACTCCAAACATGAGAAAAAGATAATTCTAAATACTGCCAACAACTTCATTAGAAGGGTCCTCTCTATAAGCGACAAAATTTATCACACAAAAAATATTGCTGTTATTAAAAGAATTCTGGAGTATAATGATTTCCCCTTGTCGTTGATAAACAAATT